ATTATTGTAACAGAAACTTCCAGTCAGGATCTGTCCTGCTCTGTCAGCAACTCCCACCTCAACCAAGGGAAAGAATCCATGGTCTACATCGCAGGTTGGTGTCCATGAAAGCCACACAGTTCAGCAACTCAGAAAAAATGTGATATGTTTAATTTAAGTATTGGATTTACAACGTGCAAATGCATAGAGCTGCTCTGAGGCTATTCATTAAACACAGCGTGTGTTGAATTTAGGGGAGGTTAGACTTCACGAACCAGCCTTCCAAGCTGCAGATGGAGTATAATGAAACGTGACTAATTTTGGTGGGGAGTGTTCAATAGTGTGTTTTATTGCTAACAGTTGCAATACGCTGGAGGGTAGGGATCAGATACAGAGGGACCTAGACAAATTGGAGGATTGGGCCAAAAGAAACCTGATGAGGTTCAACAAGGACAAGTGCAGAGTCCTGCACTTAGGACGGAAGAATCCTATGCACTGCTACAGACTAGGGACCGAATGGCTAGGTAGCAGTTCTGCAGAAAAGGACCTAGGGGTCACAGTGGACGAGAAGCTGGATATGAGTCAACAGTGTGCTCTTGTTGCCAAGAAGGCTAATGGCATTTTGGGCTCTATAAGTAGGGGCATTGCCAGCAGATTGAGGGACGTGATCGTTCCCCTTTATGCGACATTGGTGAGGCCTCATCTGGAGTACTATGTCCAGTTTTGGGCCCCACACTACAAGAAGGATGTGGAAATATTGGAAAGAGTCCAGCGGAGGGCACCAAAAATTATTAGGGGTCTGGAGCACATGACTTATGAGGAGAGGCTGAGGGAACTGGGATTGTTTAGTCTCCAGAAGAGAAGAATGAGGGGGGATTTGATAGCTGCTTTCAACTACCTGGGGGGGGGGTTCCAAAGAGGATGGAGCTCGGCTGTTCTCAGTGGTGGCAGATGACAGAACAAGGAGCAATGGTCTCAAGTTGCAGTGGGGGAGGTCTAGGTTGGATATTAGGAAACACTGTTTCACTAGGAGGGTGGTGAAGCACTGGAATGCGTTACCTAGGGAGGTGGTGGAATCTCCTTCCTTGGAGGTTTTTAAGGCCTGGCTTGACAAAGCCCTGGCTGGGATGATTTAGTTGGGAATTGGTCCTGCTTTGAGCAGGGGGTTGGACTAGATGACCTCCTGAGGTCCCTTCCAACCTTGATATTCTATGATTCTATGCCTGGAATTGAATTGGCATTCACAATGGAGAGGGAGTCTTGAAAAAATTCCGTAGTGTAGAAAAGGCCCCTTTGTGCAGCCAGAATGGGCTCTCCAAACTGGAGCTGGGAGGGAAATAGTTTCCTGTCCCATGAAGTTTTTCAAATTTTCAAAAAATTTCCTTTTCCCCATGGGGAAAAAACTGACACGTTTCAAAAGTTTTCATTAAAACAAGAAAGAGAGACCTCCCCCCCCCCACTTCACAATAGCCTGCTGGTCAGGACTCTTACCTGGGATTGGGGGTCAAATCCCTGCTCCAAATCAGGCAGAGCAGGAATTTTACTCTGGATATCCCCTGTGAGTGTCCTAGCCACAGGGCTAGTGGCTATTCAGGGGTTTTGCTCCTCTGGTTTTGACTAGAAATCCCATCCTGGACCCAAGAACCTTTTTCCTGTAAAATATTTGGTTATGATGAATTGGCGTTTTCTGACAAAACAAAACAAAAGCAAAAAAATTTAGTTGAAAAATTCCTGATAATTTCTACTTCCAACCAGTGGCACATGATCACCACAAAAGTCCTACTAGTGATACATCTGTTCTATCAACGTTTTCAAGTTAATGAGGCTTTGTCTTGCAGATTCTTTCTTCCTGGGGGCCTGCCCCTGGAATGTGGCTGTGTACATACTCCTGGTTGCTTTGGGTTTGCTCATTTTCATGGCCAGCTACTTCTTCTGGAAGCAACACAAGGCAAAAGGTAAAGTTATAAGGGGAGAGTACAATGTACTCAGAGATTTCCTTTAAAATATAAATTAGTCTAGAGTGGAGGTGGCTTCTCCATAGTTAAAGATGCAGCTACATTTTTATTTGAAGCCATATTTTGCATCATCTCTAAATTTCCCAAGAAAAGTCAGATTACCATAAATTGACAAGGAGTCTGGTGGCACCTTAAAGACTAACAGGTTTATTTGGGCATAAGCTTTCGTGGGTAAAAACCCCACTTCAGATTTTTTACTCACTAAAAAAAGTAAAACCAGACTCCTCATTCTTTTTGTGGATACAGACTAACACGGCTACCTCCTGATACTTGGTACCATAAATTGGAAGTTCTGGACAAGGCCCTGGGTGTAATTTGTGAGGGAAATCTGAAGTCTTCCATTACTTTTTGGCCATATCTTGGGAAATAAATGAAGGGCCTAGGAGCCACATGAAACATATCACTTGATTCCCATTGCTAATGTCTAGTGTGGATGAAACCAAATGATAAAGCCAATGTCGATTAATTTAAAATATGAAATGATTAGATCTTCACTTTAGAAATTCAGAGTGCTAATAGAACACCTGCGCAGTGCAGCGAGAGAGACACTTTCCCGTCAAAATGCCCTTAGCCTAAAAAAGCTGCACTGGGCTTGGGAATAAGAGTTCTGGGCTCATATATGTCACTGATTGGTTTTATGCACTTCACAGAGAGCACAGCCAGATATTCTACACTAGCAGGGTTAAAGCAGCAAATCTTTTAAGTGAAGACAAGCCCTTGATGTCTTGTACTAACTCAAACAGAAGGTCTGTGGTAGACCCAGGAATTGAACTATGGTCACTGAAGTCCCAGGCTACGGTTCTAACCCCTACCTCTCCGAGGCCTGTCTGCAAAGGTTGCCACCCCCTTTCTTAGCTCATCAAGCTTTAATGCAGAGGACCAATGATTAGCTAAATAGAGACCACTTTAAAAGTAACACCTGCAATTATTATTTCCATTTCCCTTCCTGCAGCCTGGCGTTAACTGTCACCACCCAAACCCTGCTCTGCATAGGGAGCTATTCATTTCTTCATGGGCTTTCCCATGATGCTCATCACTGCAGTGTCTGAGCCTCACAAATTGCCTGCTAGCTCTGGTAGTGTTAGTCCCATTTCCTCTCCTGTAGCCTGTTTTTTCAAAGAATCTTTTATCCTGCACAAGGGTCAAGCAATGGTGCCTGATCCTATGGGGCTGCTGAGGGTCCCTTCCTGAACTGTCAGACAACATGCCAGTCTCGCTCTGTCACTATTCTCCTTTCCAGCAATTCTGTGTTTTTCTGTACTACCAAGTTCAGCTTGGATAGCCACTCTCCGTCACAAGAGGCTGTTCTCCACAGGAGTATTGAAATGGGCTGTGACTGAAGTCTGGGTAACTGAGGAGATTTGGTTGTTTTCATGCTGTTGGGCCTAGCTCAGAACCAGTCCAATACAGCCAAGCTGATCTTTATTCCCCAAGTCAGTTGAGGAGGATGCACAAATAATTTACAGGGTTTGGGTTCCAATTTGTTTTAAAAAGTTATTAAGATTCATAGTGAACAGGAGAACTTTAACCATAGATGGGAGGAGCGCTACGACAGGCAAGTGCAGACCCCTCTGATACACAGGGCAATGGGAGTGGTTATATGGAAGCCTGTCGATACAGTTCATTACCAGCCAACCAGTGCTCTGTAGAATGTGCAGCATTTCTACTGGACTCTCCCCCTTTCTAACAAGTCTCTCCTCTTTTCTCATAGTGGTGCATGTTGCAGAGAGAGTTAAGGCTCTTCTATGGGAACTGCGTGGGGGGAAATCTCAATCTTTGGAACAATTTGCTGGTGCCTCCCAGGCAGCTGTTAGGGGATCTGATGAATGAATGCTCAACACGGTGGTTATTACATGCAGAGCACTTCCTGCCCCCCTCCTACCCTACAGTGCCCCCCAGAGAGCCCCAAGGATTGCAGGAGTTTGCCCCACATGAACAGGCAGAGGGTGTAAGCAAGTGTATGTTACAGTGACCCTTCATTCTGTCACTGACTGGGATGTCAATGATGTGAAGGTGTTCTCACTTCCTACTAAGTTTATAACATAACCTTTATGTAGACGGTGGCTGGGGCAGAGTGGCTTGGAAAAGGCCAATCTTAAGGCTTTGTGTAAACTGGACAAAAAAAAAGTTTTGCCGACAAAGCTACTGCCGCTCCTTGGGGGTGGAAGTTTTTTGTCGGCAGGAGAGCTCTCTCCTGATGACAAACAGTGGCTACACTGCACGCCTTTTAGCGACACGCCTGTAGCGGCACAGCTGTGTCACTATGTCACTAAAAGGTGCGTAGTGTAGACATAGCCTCAGGAGCAGAACTGTGAATTTTCAGCCTTTCTGACATCTTAAGCTTGTGTTTTGGTAAATTTTGTCACTAGAACATTATTTTATGGTTTGTTTTAACCACAGCCTCGAGTTCTTAAAGTTAACAGTGTTTTCCATTTGGGATAATTATCTTTCCATTGACTTTTATGGGACAAGAGCAGGCCCTAAATCCAAACTCTTATGGGATTATTTATGTGATATGCTAGTTATAAATCTATAATATATTCTGTTTTTGTTTTTAGGGAAACTTGTTGCGGATCTTGGTAAGTATCATAACCCTCTCCCCGTTATAAATCTTGTTCCTTGTTCCACCAGGGGATGGAGCTTCCCTGATCCATGCACCCTCCTGACCCGACACTCTGCACCCCCTCTGCCCTTCAACTTTCTGATGGTCACCATTAGCTGACAGACTCTGCCTCTATACTCTTGCTCATGAGTCCCACCCTGGCCCATGACTCTTATTTGCCTATCCACATTTACATGGCCACAACATTCATTTCCCACAGTCTCCCTAACATTGACTCTTGCCAACTCCACTCACACCTACTCTCCCTACACTTAAACAGAACAAGGACATTCCAACACAAAACCATTCATTTCCAGTTAAGCCTGAGCATTTATATATAAACTCCAAGGCTGAGATCAGAGCATTCTGGTACTAATACAGAATGAGGCCAGTGTCATGTTGAAGGATCACACTTAGTATCAGAGACAATTATGCTTTAAAACCAATACCAAGAATTCAGTTCTCCACTCATGAACTTTACTCCAGTATTGACTTCTTCAAATTTAAAGCTAGGAGGGAAGAGAGAAATGCAATCATGCCACTGTGTTAGAGTTCTGTTTGTTTGGGGGACTTAAAGAAAACAACTGCAAACCATACTTCACATTTTTTAAAGTGGAACCTTAAGTTTTAATTTCCATGATTTTAAAAGTTTGAGAGTTTAAAATAGTTTCTTGTCAGGGTTTTCTGGAGGAGGTTGGTGGCACATCTGCTCAGCCTGAACTCCAGAGTTTTGGGTGGTTATGTGCGCATTGTAATGTTCTTTGAAATGTGCCCAACAGAATGGTATGCAAGATACAAGGAAGGGCATATGCATTTTTTGACAAATTGGCGAAAAACAAGCTGATAGGCTGAGGCTCTCATAATAATTGAAATAACAGATCAAAGTACATCTACTTACAAAGACATAAAGTAAAGCAAAAACTAAATCTAAGATATTCTAGATTCTGACTGATTGTATTGTGGCCTCCATAGAAAGGTCTATTTGTGTCACACTGTCAGTCACTCTCTTGTAGCAAGGCACCTCCTCTACCTTGGCAGGCTCAGCGCTTCCCCCACTGACAGTGGGGGAGCCTGGAGTAGGTCATCCCCACTCTGGACAGTGTTCATTCTCCCACTTGGGGGGGTTATTTCCCAATCTTTTCCTGGGAGGTCTCGGGGCAGGCCTCAGCAGTGCTCCTCCGCCAAACAAAGAAAACAAACAAGAAACCAATTCCAACACAAAAACGAAGGTGATAACTTTTCCTACCCCCCACTCTGAGGGCAGGTGACCTTGTTATTGGCCTGGGGTGCCAGCCCTTCCCCTAGAGAGGCAGTCAGTTATGTAGTCTCCCCTGTATGAGGAGAGCAGCCATCCCTCCCCGCCCCTCCTCACTCCACTCCACTCCACTCCACTCCTCTCCTCTCCTCTCCTCTCCTCTCCTCTCCTCTCCTCCTCCAGCCTTTCTCCCTGCTACCACTAGCCTTGCAGTAGCTTGTCTCACCTCCTGCCTCCTCACCAGAGGAGGGTTTTTTAAAGATCTCGGGCAGCTCTTAATTGGATTCAGGTGTCCCTAGTTGACATGAGGTAACTCCTTCTCAGCTTATAGGGAAAAGGGCCTCTATCATTAGGGCTAACACATTTGCCTTCCCCCACCCTCTTACAGCTGTCCAGCCTGACTTTGTCATACTCCTTAATAATCATAGTGCAGTTACATTAAATTACAGTCGGAATTATCCCCAGGTACCTGGCAGCATGAGAGCTCATCTTTTGCCCTTTTCTTTCTCTAGAGCAGGGGTTCTCAAAACAAATTTTTTGGTGTCCTCAGAGTACGGCCACCAACTCTTGCTGGTGGCCGCTATGACAATTTTTGCTAAAATACTTCGTTAACTTTAGGGAAAACATATAAATATGAACATATACACATCCAAATCATAGTAATTTATTTATGTAAGGGTTTTTTTGCAGAATAAATAATAAAAATAATGTACAGTTGTCTCAATTCTTTACTAGACCTAAACAGAATAGAAACACAGATAAGGTGCATGGCATTCTTGTCTTGTTGTTTCTTTTGCTTTTTTGGTTGCATTTTTGTTCTAGACTTGATAGCTAGTAAGTCTGCTTCTGTGAAAAATGATATTTGTTTATATCTCTTTTCACAGCAGACTTCTTAGCTAGCTGAGAGGCAGTGAAAAGTTATATTAACAAACATATAAATATCACTTTTCAAAGCAGACTTACTCAGCCCTGGCAATCTGGGGGATAAATTAAGTTTTGGATGAAGAGGTAGGTAGGGAGGCAGTGGGGGCCAGGGGTGATGGGGTGGATGGGTCAGGGGATGGACCCTGCCAGGTCCTGCAGGTGGGGGGCCAGAGCCTGTGACCAGAGCCCACCGCCGGGCAGTTGGAACCTTCCTGGAGCCTGCTGCCTGCCACCCCAGGGCTGCAGCCGGAAGCCAGAGCCCCACTGCCCCTGGGAAGTGGGGACCTCACACCAGCTGTCTGCTCCTCTGGTGGTGTAGCTCCAGAGGGGGACAGTGCCAAACCTATCCTGGTGGTCCCAGGGGAGGGGCCGCTGTTTTCCCCCACCCCTCCAATCACTGCCCAGAAGGCTGTGGCCACAAGAAGAGACCCTAGTGGCCACTTTTGAGAAACACTGCTCTAGAGACTGTCCAATCTGAAATGGAGAGCGAAAGAGGTAAACGTCTCGGCCTTGGCAATGTGTTAGCAATTGCATGTAATGTCTCCAAAGAAGGGGGAAAATGAGAGTTTGTATCTTTATCTCTGGATCATGTGGTTAATGGGATGAGGGCTCATGGAAGATCCCTGCTACTGATGCAACAACCTCATGATCCTGCCTAGGAGCTATAGCAGCAGACCCTGCTGCAGCCACTGCAAACCCAGCTCTGTCAGCAGCAAGAAGAGTTCATGGGCTGGCAGCAGGAGGTGCAACTGTCCCAGCAAGAAAGGACTCGCCAGTGGAGAGACGGTCTCCTGCGACAGTTCACAGATCTGCCCAGGGTGGAAATTTCAAGACCACTGGGGAATTGTCCTGGGTGTTGGAAGCCCAACCCGTCCTGAGAGATGATATGGAGGATTTTCCAAACACACCCAAGAAGGCTGCAAACCCCCCTGATTGGGGTGGGGGGGAAGGGGGCTGGATCAGCTTGCTAATGCTTTTCTCCATGGTTGAGGATCAAGCTCCCTATAAGGCTTTAAGTGAGAAAGAGGCCAAGTCATGCCCCTCTCTGACTCTGTCAGCAAAGGCACCATGAATGGTCTGAGCCAAACCCTTTCCTCATGGGGTTTGTCCACAGACAGTAGCCCGGTCATTCCTGGACAAAGCTATTCCCTGAATTAAACCTTGAGTTTAGGACAATGAACGAGAGTATGAATGCATAGTCTTGCAACAGTTAGGGCTGGTCAGAAATTCCAATGTAACAGTTTTCCATCAAAAAATTCAGCTTCATCTGAATGTTTTGTGGGAACGTTGATTTTGATGAATTTTTTTATGGGAAAAAGTTGAAATGTCACATTTAAAAATGTCAAGCTCTTTTGTTTTGGCATCATCATTTTGACTCATTTTGTTTTGACTTTAATATTAATATGGATATTTTCATATATGATAGTACTGTATTTCCATAATATATGTAGTATTATGTCTACAATCTATATTATATTTAATATTTTAATATATTAATGTTTAAATGAAACATTTTAACACTGTAGAAACCAAGCATATCTATACTTTTGAAACAAAATGTTTTGATGGACCTGAATTCAGTGTTTTTTTGAATGTTCATAGGAAATTTCAAAATTTGAGGGTTTTATTCTGATTCCGAGCATTTTTTTTTCCTGCAATGTTGGAACTTCGCACTGAACAGAAATCCCTGTTTTGATCAGCTCTAGGAACAAAACGTGCGGGTCTAGCCACCAGGGGCTCAGAGCTGAAAACAGGTCTTCCAGCTGAGCTCAGTAAATGCAGTGCTGGAAAGAGACAGGGACCCAGCTGCACCTCTTGGTGCACAGTGGCATCACTGACATTATAACTAGGGATTGAAAAACACTGTCACTCTTTGAAGTTCCACCCACAAACCAAGCTCCTCCCACTTGGGATGCTGTGACAAAGTGGGGATTTTCCCTTGTTATGTTGTATGTGAGTCTTACTGTTGAGCCTATGTGAGTTTTACTGTTTTGCATGAATACTGTGTGTGCCTCAGTGTCCCTGTGTGCTGCACCAATACCTCGGTGGTGGGAATAGGGGTGTGTGACTTTGGTTGAGACCTCTGGGGCAGGTGAGGCTGTCCTGCTGCTTGCACGTATTCTCTGACTGGTGCCCTTTGTAACTTGAGACCCAGGAGAGGGATGCAATCAGGTGATGACCATGTGACCCTTTGCCCGGGAAGCGAGACCAAGACAAGGAGGAGGAGCAACAGGGGTGTCTGAGGTCAGGTCGCTCAAAGCTGGCAATCTGCTTGAGGGGACTGGAAGAGGGGGAGTCCAGGGCTTCTGGCCCAGGACTCCCCAAGATGGACTTGGCTGAAAGTCACTGACTTCTGTGCTAACAAGTCCTGTTCTACGCTGTGTTCCTGTCGACTAATAAACCTTCCATTTTACGCTGGCTGAGAGTCACGACTGACTGCGGAGTGGGGGTGCAGGGCCCTCTGGCTTCCCCAGGAGCCCTACCCGGTTGGACTCGCTGCGTGAAGCACACAATGTGGAAGGGGATGCTGAATGCTCCAAGGTCAGATCCAGGAAGGTTGAAGCTGTGTAAGCTTCTTGCCCTAGTGACAGTATGTTCAGAGAGCGGAGACATGCTCCCCCAGAGTCCCGACTGGCTTCATATGGAGTAGTGCCAGAGCATCTCCTGGTGACTCCGTGACAGATGCCAAAAGAAGATGTCACTCACAGTAGGTTGTGCTGTCAGGTGGATTCCTCCAGAGAGCACATGTACCAATATGACCATGCACACTCTTCAGGGCTATTATTATAGTGGGAGCTGGTAGCAACATCCTTCTGTGTAAGTTGCCTAAGGCTTTCCATTATAAAAGATTCTTTCCAACTTTTTCAAAAGTTTATAATTCAGCCGAACCTGAATGGAATATCATGAGACAAGTGAAAAGCACTTCTCTAGCCCCAGGGCTTTGTTCCAGCGAAATAGCATAGTCTACTGCAAACAATGGAAGTGTTAGACTTTCTCCAAAAGAAGATACATGGATACTGTGCTTTGACTTTTTGTTGCATGTTAGAGTCTCTCTGTAGGGGCATTCATAAATGTTGAGAACAGAAAATACCATTCTGAGCATCCATCCTGACCTACTGCTGATCTACAGGCCAGAGAACCTCATGCATGGACTGCTGCCTCAAGATCATACCTTCTGGTTGAGCTAGAGCAAATGTTTTAGACAAAGATGTGATCTTGAATTATGTGGAATGGTTTCTTCTTGAATAGTCAGACAATAGACCAGACATTATCAGTCACAGCCTTAAAATTCCCTTCCTTCCTAATAATTCCATATTTTTCAATATTGCCAAATCCCGATCAGCTCTGATCTCACAGCAGACAGTCTCTAATCCACACAGCATTTTCATGCCACTACGAACATGAGTCACTGACTGTGAAAACTGGGTTGCTGTGCACGGCTTCAATATTATTGACCATGTCCAAATATTTTATATTCTGGGGAACTGTAGACTATCTGTAGAGCTCAGCTTAGAAGAAAGCTAGTATATTTCAGATAATATTTATTTATCTTGCATCATGGCATTTTGTAAAGATGGGATTTGGGTTAAAAAACAAGACCAAACTGAGGCCCTTTTGGCTATATAGTAACTATAGGCAATGGGAGTAGATCTAAAGAAAGGTTGCTGATATAATTAATTGTCTAATAAAAAATGCAACATTTAAGAAACATTCTTCTCTATATTTCTTTCCTATTTTCTTTTAGAGAAACATCTTGCAGAAAAAGGTAAGGTTTCTTTGATTTCTCCCATTAAAATGAACAAAGTTTGCAATAAGTTGCCTATATTATTATTATTTTATTTATTATTATTTGTATTGTGGAAGCACCAAAGGGGTCAGGGCCCTATTGTGCTAGGTGCTGTGCAAATATATAACAAAGAGCTGGTCTGTGCCCCAAAGAGCTTACAATCCCAAATATAAGATGCGAGACAACAGGTGGATATAGACAGACTGACGGGACTCACCATGATTGTGATAAGTACCAGTCACAGCTCCCCAGCTGTCAAGTGATTCATAGGCTTTCTGGCAGAGGTGAGTTTTAAGAAGTCTCAAGGTAGCAGCCTCCTACTTCCCAGCTAGCTATTAAGAGATTTTCATATAGACCAGTTACAGTTGCATAAAGGCAAAACCCACCCACACAAGCCCTTAACAGTAAGCAAACAACAAGTGCAGAGAACTCTCTGAACACTGATGCATCATGGTACCCATTCTTTATAGTAGCCCCTTGTCCCCTCTAATGGATAGGGAAACACCCCTGTATGTGACACAGTCCCCTGACTGACTCTCACTAACCCTTAGTGATGCCCTCAGCTGCGTTAGCAGGTGCTTGCTCTGGCCCAGTGTGTGCTGGGGAAAGGGTGAGGCAGGAGTTAAGCTTTGACATTTTAATGCAGAGTGGATTAATGGGGGGTGTGGTTCCTTGCCTGGGGAAGGGAGCTCCCAGCCTGAGCCCAAGGAGGCACTGAGAGATGTGCCAGTTCTGTCTCCACAGCCTCACCCCATCTCTGCTTATGCCCCCCGCCCGTACTGTCTCCCCCAGCCACCCTCCCCATCCCTGCTCTGGCCATCTCCCCACACAGCATGGGCCAAGTCAGGGGAGCCAGCCCTGTCCCCTATCCTATGTTCCCCTTGCATGTTTCCCCACATATCCCTTTCATCCCAAGCAAGGGCGGAGAGGCCTAGGCAGCACTGTTGCAGGAGCAGGCAGGCATGGAGGGAGGGAGCTGCAGTTGGAGGTGATGCCAGGGCAGAATCTCCCAGCTCAGCAGCAGAGGCCTCTCCTCCCTCAGAGGAAGGGGCTGGGCTCCCCAGCTCTGCTGTGCCAGCAGTCCTGTCTGCTAAGACTCATGCCCATGGGGACACCCCACCATCCATCCATGCCCCATCCCTGGTGATTTCCCCCCACTCAATAGCATCATCCCTTCCTGCCCACAGCACTGGTCTAAGCAGCCTCCCTCAGCTTATATGAGGAAGGGTAGGTGTAGGTTTTGCTCTGTCCTTTAATCACTGCTGTGAGAATGTTCTTCACTTGTAGTAATAGATATAAAATTCCCATGTAGTTCACATTGGCCAGGGATAGAGTAACTGGAAAAATTCATAGATTCCAAGGCCAGAAGGGACCACTGTGATCATCTAGTCTGACCTGCATAACACTGGCCAGAGAACTGCTCAAATAATTCCTAGTGCAGGAAAAGAATATCATCTTGATGTAAAAATTTTCATTGATGGAGAATGCACCACAATCCTTAGTAAATTGTTCCAGTAGTTAATTACGCTTACTGTTAAGTTTACGGAAATAAGGCATAATTTTTTTTTAATTTCATTAATTTTTAATTGAGCATTTCCAACCTTTCTGACACTCCTTGTTATTATTAGTCTTATTTAAGTATAATCCCTTATCGTTAACAAAGATTTAATTTGTGATAAGGTCATGGGAATTCTTATAATGTAAACCACCCTTTAAATGTATGTTTGTTTCAATAAAATTTCTTACCATATATCTATTTCTATTGATTTGTTTTTAGAGAAGCTCCAGAATGAACTTCGTAAGTGCCATTCCCACCTTCCCCCAATATAAACTTTATTATAAACTATTTCCTCTTCTGAGGGGCTGGTGCACAGGACAGCTCTCATCTCCCTGTATCTACTTTGTTTCAGAATTGAGAAGAGTTCAAATATATCAAGGTAAATTCAGCTGATATTTTATTCATGTCAAAATTGGGGAGATCTTTGCCCCCTTTCCTTTTGCAATGAACAGGCTCATAGTAAGAGTGACAGGATTCAAGTAGTATTTTCAGAGAGATGGGACAGATGTTCTTCTTTGGGTAAAGTGGTGATTAGTGAGAGGGAATTTCCAACCTTTCCGGGCTTACACTGTTCTGACAGGATCATTTCTATTACACTGCTCAATATGCTCTGCTGAAGAGCAATTTTCCACACTCCCTGATTTAACTCTCCATCCCCTTCTAATGGAATATGAGGAAACAAGGAGCATGTTGGTCGTCCATGGTGCTGGGGAGTTGGACTCTCTAAGGGATGCTGAGGGTCCCAGAGAATATGGTCATCAATTTTACCTTATACACCTCTACCCCGATATAACGCGGTAAAGCAGCGCTCCGGGGGGCGGGGCTGCGCACTCCGGCGAATCAAAGCAAGTTCGATATAACGCGGTTTCACCTATAACACGGTAAGATTTTTTGGCTCCCGAGGACAGCGTTATATCAGGGTAGAGGTGTATTTAAAGATTTGCAATGTACAGTGGACGGGGGATTGCTAATCAGATGTGGAGCCTTTCCCTGGTAGGCCACTAGTCTCAATGTCACCAGGTGAGGCTGATTGTATGGATCATAGTGCAATGAATAGCTGGTGACAGTTCAGTTACAAACAATTAAAGACTGTGCTCGTTATCCTGAAAGACTCATATTCATGGCTGAACGCACCACAGAGACTCACCTGCCCATTACCCTTGGAAATGAATTTTGCATGTGTCAGGTTTGAGGCAGATTGGCAGGATAGCGTAAGAGAATCTTGCACTGCCGCCACCTGTACTGTACCTGGACAATAAATACGGAAAGAGTTTAGCAGCCAGTGTTTAAATGCTTCTCTCCTTCCCAGAACTACATTCATGCAGCACTCTGGCTCAGTATCTGTCAGCAGAGTGTCAAGCGTGCTCAGAAGAGAGGGTGAGTGAAGAAAAGGAGAGTGGGGTGGGGCTCTCAGATGCAGTTTAAGTTGTTACCATCACAGAAAGTACCACATCTTTAGGGTTAAATTTAAATCATAATTCTGGAAAAGGAAACCTGGCAGGTGTAAATTAAAATGACACATGGTGGAAAACCCAGAGAGAGAGGGATGAAATGGAGGTATAGAGAAAATATATACCTGAGGCTTCTGAAATGACACCTCACAAGATGCCTCAGCCTTCAGTCAAGACTCCATCTACACAGTCATGGAAATGGAAGGACTCAACAATCTACCCATGAGAGGGGGTATCTTGGGAGAGGGAAAGCAAAAGGTTAATCTTGATCGAAAGTGTCTCATGTTTATGAAATAAAAGTAAGTAAGAAAAAAAATGACAGGTCAGAAAAAGGCAGTGAAGGATGGTGTTTTTTAAAAACTGAAACTAAAAACCTGTGGTGTTGATTTTAATTTTTAAAGAAATAAAAATTGGATAAATTATAGCCAGATCACTGCTAACACCTCTAGCCAAGGTTGCCAAAGTGTTTCCATTACAGCATCTGAATTCAGTTGCTCATGAAATGTTCACCTCTAGGACTGAGATTTTCCATTCCCGTCTCTGCCCTAAGGTGATACCTTTTTATAAAAAAATAAGGTTTCAGCAAAATGGTCCAGCCGGTCTTTAGTAAGAAAAGAATCAGGAAGAAATTCATTTTCCTCTCCCCATTAAACTTAAGTCTTAGTGCCCAGTCACTCACTCACACACATCCACTGCACATGTTCCCTAGCAATACTACTACATTAACAACTTATGTAACTTCACGTTAATCCACTAAATGTTAGTCCTGGGCATTAGATCCTGCCTAGAGGAGTCCAGTAGATGAGGTTTCATCTTCTTTCATTTTATGGTACAAAGTGGTAAATAAATGTCAAAAGACTTTTAGGCTTCTGTTTGACAGCCCCAACACAATTAAACAGCCCCTTGTTGGATTCATTACAAATTTTCTAGAATTAATCTATTGTGCTGTGGGACCTTGCCTATCAGTGATGAGGCCAATACGACTCTTTGGGAGGATTTTACAGCAGGAGTGAGGTCTGCGTGGACTCAGGCTTATAATAAAAATTCAGTTTCAGCCTTACCTAGGGAGTGACTAGGGACACTCCCTAATATGGGGGAAAAAACAATGTTCTAATGTTTTAAGTGGCTTCTGTGTCATTTGTTTCTCATATGATGCACCCACGTCACTCACTCATGACAGACTACAGACTATTGTCCCTATTCCCATGCCAGGTACCTGGGAACCCTGGACACAACCCACCCGACTTCTCCTCAGGCTGGAGCCCACAAGGGCCTGGCTCTCCCAAGAATGCAGTGAGAGGCAGTGGCAGCCAGAGCAGCAGTGGGTTGGGGGAGTTTCACCTTCAGCGGCTTGGGGCCCTTTAACACAGAGCCACCGGCCAGACTCGAAGCTGAATGAAAGGGGAAAGTAGCAGAGCAGTGTGTGGGTGTAGTGGGGAAGGTTTTAGCTGCTTTTCAGGGGTTAAAATTTCCCTTGGAGGGAGATGCAGGGAAGAGTGAGACAATGAGGCTGATAGAAACCATAAATGGTGATAAGTAGATAGAACAGGATATGTCCATGCTGGCAGGGAGAGTGGGGAGCTGCAGTGAATCTCTGCTCGACCCCAGCAGAGCTCCCTGGGGCCCAGGACCGAAAGCCAGGAAACCAGGGAGTGCTCCAGCTGGGATGGGGCCGGTGGCTTGGAGTAAGTACCAAGAGCCAGTATTCACATGGGTGAGGAGCTCTAAGAACAACTGCTGCTGTCGGTTGGGTGATTCTGAGCTCATTATTAGTTTAAGAAGAGCACTTGGTGACCAGGCCAGGTGTAGGGTATAGGCCATTGGTGCCCCCTGACTTTGGACACCTTCCACACATGTGGAATGCCAGAGAAGGAGTTTGTGAGGGAGACTAACTGTGAGTGGAGGTCATGGCTGTCTGAGGCATCTGTACTAGTAAACTCCTTTAAAGGCTTCAGGAATGATGAGAGCCAGGTGACCTTGACAATCACACCACAGGATGGCCCTAGCAGTTATTACAGCAAGGCCTCTGTAATTACTTCCCTATTTCAGAGTTCCCCAGAGCAATGTGAGGGGTTACATTGTGCGTGTCCCATCAGAGTGATGAACTGTTACATGGAGTAGGGCACCAACTGACAAGCAGGGCATTATAAGGTGCCTGATGGCTGGCAGTTACATAACCCTAGTTTATTACTGGACACTAATATGTCTGTTTTATGGACAAGGCTGCCGGAAGACTCCAGTAAAGTGAAAGGTATTACAGCTGCATGTATCCTGGCTGTTCTAGACTTCAGAATTCACTGTTAACCCTGGTGCTACCCTGAAGGGAGAGTAGTTTCAGAGTCAGCAGCTGCGCAGGCCATTGCTCACTGAGCATCGCCACTGGTATCACCGGTATGTTTGCCACTGTCTTGTACTGAAGCCTGGTGCAAGGTGGGGGCAGGAGGCAGGATTCATTTATTCAGGGGGAGGGATAGTTCAGTGGTTTGAGCACTGGCTTGCTAAACTCTGGGTTGTGAGTTCAATCCTTGAGGGGGCCACTTAGGGGTCTGGGGATTGGTCCTCCTTTGAGCAGAGGGTTGGACTAGATGACCTCCTGATATTCTATAATTACCTTTATTTTTATGCAAGTTCTTTTTTTTGTTTGACAACAAATCAGCATGCGCTGTTGGCCAAAACTGCCCGACTCCTTTTGATGCTGCCTACTCCTTCTCCCTGCTCAACTGCACCTAGAGCTCATGGGATGTCCCTGCCTCCTGCCTCACCCTGTCCCCCCCACTTGCTCAGTGCTCCTAGAGCTCATGGGGTGTCCCTGCCTCACCCTGTCTCCTCCCCCACACACACACACCTGCTCAGCTGCATTTAAAAATCCCAAGGCACAGTTAAGAATTATAGGTCAAATCCTTAGCTGTGTCTATTGACGTAACTCCCCTGCAGTCAATGGCATTAATGCTGATTTACACCAGCTGAGCATCGGTCACTGCCATGATGACTACTACTGGGATTGGGCCTGAAACAGCCCATAGGCCCAGATAATCTAGGACTGTTTGGGCTGGTCTACACTGGGGCAGGGGGGAGGATCGATCTAAGATACGCAACTTCAGCTACGTGAATAGCGTAGCTGAAGTCGAAGTATCTTAGATCGATTTACCTCAGGTCCTCATGGCGCAGGATCGACGGCCACAGCTCCCCCATCGACTCCGCTACCGCCTCTCGCTCTGGTGGAGTTCCGGAATCGACGGGGAGCGCGTTCGGGGATTGATATATCGATCCCCAATAGATCGATTACTACCCGCCGATTCAGCAGGTAGTCTGGACATACCCTTTGATGTAACTGTCCTATACATTTAGAAACCTGTGTGTGCCAGAAGTGTAGTATCAAAACAATACATTCCCTTTACATATTTCCTTTGAGACTCCGTAAGGTATGATCCAAAGCCCATTGAAATCAATGGGACTCTTTCTATTGACTTCAGTGGACTTTGGATCATACCCATAGTGAATAAAGAGGGACTAGGTGACTTGGTTTATTTGGACCTTCAAAAATCCCTTACGAGAAGGTATTAAGGAAACTGAGTAGCCATGTGGAGAGATGTAAAGTTCTGGCACTGGATCAAACTGGCTAACAGATAGAAAGTAAAATGTGATACAAAATGGTCAATTTTGATACCAGCTAGAAGTTGAGTGTGTATTACAGTGTTCCATACTAATACTGGAGTTATTTACTTTTATCAACTCGAGAAAGAGTCCTGGGCATCATTGTGTGCAGCTCCGTGGAAACCTCTGCTTAAAGTGCAGCAATGGTCAAAAAGCAAACAATGTTCACATGCACATATATGCAATGGAGAATAATATGAAAAATATTACACCACTATATAAATCAATTAAATGCTCTTATAACGCCAATAGGCCAGGGGGATTGAACCTGGGATCTCTAGAGCTTAGTGCATGAGCCACTACCGCATAAGCTAAAAGCCATTTGGCTGTTAGCTAAGGCTATAAAGCAGGAGCAGACTCATATTTTTTCTCTCTCTCTCTCACTCTCACTAGACGGGACAGAACACCACACCCAGGAGGTGTGTGGATTACACTCTCACCTGGATACTATATGATGGGGCCCTTCGTTTTTGGTTTTTATTTTATATAATTTTTCCCAGGAATTTATCAGTGTTTAGTAATACAACAACAAAAACAGGTGAAAATTAGTGGAAAAAACTACTAATAATTTTCTGGGTAAATATCGGGGTTTATTTTGGTGGACAGAAGGACAGGGGAAAAGAGTATTTGGTAGGTTAATGCTTTGATGAATGGAATTCAATGTGGTTTGCTGCAGAACTAAAGCACAACTCAAAACACAATTCCACCTTGGAGTTTAAGAAAACAACCCCAAATAAAACTTTTCATTTGAATAAACAGTTTATTGTTGTAGACTTAGAACTATTAGCCTATAAATATTTACATTTAATAATTGGGCCACACCATTTGCAGTGCATACACTCAACTTCATCCTTTCCTCCTGTTTTTGGTTTTTAAAACTTTTGAATACTTCCTTGTGTTCTGAAATGTATTCTGATACAGATTTTCATTTTCTTCCCATTTTAGTGTGTCAGATCTTTAAATTGTTATCTGCTAACAGCTTGAAATGTGTACGTGGTTGGCATGAGATTCATCAGTATGTTCAGATGTGCATGCACTTCAGAGCTTGCATATGTGCCTGTTTGTTTATTGTGTGTATCTTTAGATTAGTAAGTAACTGTGTGACTCATGCCCTCTCACTTGGGGTGCGCTTTACACTGCGTTGCTGCTGTGTCCTCCAGTCTGGACAACCCACAAGTGGCCTCCAGCATGTAAGTCACTTCCACCTATGTCTGTGTGCACTTGCAAACTGCCAGTCACACTCAGACTCTCACTAGCCCAGGGGTGGCCAAACTGTGGCTTATGAGCCACATGCAGCTCGTTTACTGCTAAAGTGCGGCTCGCGGAGCCCTTCATGCACCCTCCCCTCCATTCTCCACCTACCAGACTGGGGGTGGGGGGAGAGCTTAGGACCTTTGCCTTGCAGCTGGGTGGTGGGGTAGGGGCTTCAGCCCAGAAGGGAGGGGGGTCTCGGGGTTTCTGCCCAGTGGGGTGTACCTGCCTGGGCTTGGACTTCAACAGGAGCTGGGCTGAAGCCCCGAGCCCAGGCCCCAGCAGGTGCACCCCAGCTTTTGAACTTCTGAAGATTGTTGTATGTGGCTTAGAGGGCCAGTAAGTTTGGCCACCCCTGCACTAGCCTGAATTACAGAGCAGGGTGACCCCAGCCTACTCCCAGTCCCAAATTTTCCCCCAAAATATACATTTTATACTGTCCAGCTCTCTCCTGGACAATGCAAGCTTATATAAAGTCCGTCATTTTATTAATAAAAATGAGATACACAACTCCTATTATTCCAAATGGAGTTCCCAAACACTTCAAATCAAACACACTGGTTTAGATAAAACAAGTTTGTTAACTACAAAGAGATAGATTTTAAGTGAGTACAAGTAATGAGGCATAAAAGTCAGAAATGGTTACAAGAAAAATAAAGATAAAATGCAACTAATGCCTAACTTAACAAACTGTGGTACATTCACAGCAAAGTTTCTCTCACTACATACTCTCAGTATTCTTACTGCCAAACTTCTTGTCCAGGAGCCCCTTTTCTGTGTAATGGCTGCTATTATGTTTTTTCATTTTCACTACATCTCTTTTCCTCCTTATTTCTTAAGTTTTTAATTATAGTTTATCTTTCATTGTAGCTTATTTCATTTTCATTTCATTCTTGCTTTACTTAATAATTTTCTAACAATGTTTTTCTAATAATTTCTTAGATTACATCAAGACTAGTTACTTTTTCCTCTCGTTTAATTGTACTATTCTTCCTTTAACGTTCCCACTTTTCCCCTTCTATCACTGCCTTTTTTCTTTCAAAGTACTGTCCCATTTGTCACTGTTCCTACTATTTCTGTCTGTCCTGTCCCTCCTGAACTGGATTGTCTCCCTTCCAGCTCTATTCCTGGAAACCCTCTGATGACAACTCGCCAACTGGGGTCTGTATCCACTGGCTCCCCACTTACTGTGTCCCTTCTTTTCTGGTGTTGGTTGCTGTCTCTTTTGCTACTGGCCTCTCTCTCTCCCAGTACTGGGAAGCTTCCTCCAGACTCCACCAGCCATTTCTGCTGCTGTCCATTTAGCCTGCACTCAGCAGTGCTCTGGGAGAGCTGAGGCCTCTCTCCAGCATTGCTTTCCCCCCTTTTCCTTCCCCACAACCCATCCCAGCTCCAGCTCACCCCTTTTCAGTTGCCCTGCAATCCTTGGAGTTCTTGAGACTCTCCCCAGAACAGTTATTTTGGGTTCCCCTCTTTTTAAAAAAAAGAAATTCTAAACCCAATGCGGCTGCCTCCGAGCTGCCAACCTGTGTTCCTCCCATCACTCCTTTGACCCAACATTGTCCAATAAAGGCAGGGCAGAGAGTAGGCTGAGTGGGACAAGGGGGGATATTGAGGCAGGAGGGAGGCTGAGGGGGGTGCACAGGACAATGATGGGGCGGGAGATGGAGGGGATTGAATGGCAGCTGGGGGCGGGGGAAGGAGAGTCCCTTCCCAGCAGCCAGGGAAGATAGTGTTGCCAGTTTTTGCCAACTGATCAAGACTCACAGGATTTTGGCATCTGCAGGGAGAGCTGTCATGATGACACAAGAAGTTCCTCTCGTCCTATGATTTTCAGGGCAGGCACGCACCCCAAGCTCTGTGTGAGAGCCTCCAGGCTGAGGACACAGATGTGCCTTGCCATACAGGAAAGAGGGGTGTGGGGAGTCAGAGTAGTGGTGCTGCTGGCACTTGGACAGAGAAGTCCCAGGGCAGGCGAGTGGGAACTCAGAGAAGTGGTGTAGCTGGGTTCCAGTCCTAGGGCAGTGGGAGACAGAAGTGTTGCTGCTGGGTCATGATAGCACAACAGTAAAAAACACACAACCTAGACTAAAAAACTATTTGATTTTAAGAAAGCCTCATGAGTTGAGGATCTGGCTCCTGACTTTTGATGTCTTGAGGCTGGCAATACTGCTAGCATGTTTGCACATTAGTAGGGAAGACAAGCCCTTCCAGGGCATGGCAAGAGGTGTTTCTCTGCAGTGGTGTTCTCTTCCTTTGTTCCCTATTATCACTTTCTATATAATTTAATGGGAAAACATAGTAAAGCTGGTTCATCTCTCTGGAGAGGCTGAGGGAGAGATAGGGAAGGTTTTGAATCTCAGGCCTGAATCAGTTGATGCTTTTACTCTGCCAGTAGAATGAATCATTCTGGCACTTTCCTGAGCTCTTTGATCTACTCCCTGTTCAGAGCTGGGTAAACTGGAGGAAGAAGAGTCTCTAATTTGCTGACAGCTCAGACAGATTATGTCACAGAAATGAATACAACCTTGCCTAGAGCCAAGATCTGCCTCTAAAACTCTGATTTTTCTCTTTCTGCAGCCAGCGTGATTCTGGATCCAGTCACTGCTCATCCTGATCTCATCCTGTCTGAGGATCAGACATGTGTAACAAAAGGAGATACAACACAGAATGTGCCAGACAATCCTGAGAGATTTGATTCTTCTGTGTGTGTCCTGGGTTCTGAAGGTTTCACATCAGGGATACATTACTGGGAGATGGAAGTGGGGAATGGTGGTGACTGGTGGGCTGTAGGGGTTGCCAGAGAGTCTATAAAGAGGAAGGGATGGCTCAATTTTAGCCCAGTGGAGAAGATCTGGGCTGTGGAGTGTGACTGGGGTAAATACCAGGCTCTTGACTCCTCTGTGATCCATTTGCCTCTGAATGAGCGACTTGGGAAAATTGGGGTTTCTCTGGACTTTAAAGAGCGCCATGTAGCATTTTATGATATTGATAACATGGTGCCAATATACACTTTCAAAGAGGTCTCTTTCTCTGATGAGAAAATCTTTCCTTTCTTCTGTATCTGGAGAACTCCAGGAAAATATATCAAACTGTGTGACCGAGAAAAGAGTTAGCCCTACATTTTCAAGTGTCCATTATTTTTTTGGTGCCAGCACTCAAAATTAGTGGGCACTTATGAAAATTTAGAGCAAATTACCTTACTGTGCCCAGAATTCTGTACCTTTCAAACCTATAGAAAACATGAATGGTCAGGAGAAAATGTCAATGGAACAGGATTTACCCAAGTTATTTTTCTAACTGTGACGGGTTGGATCACAGAAACCCCCTTGGGAGCTGTGACCTGATGTGCAAAGACTACCTCTGCTCCTGTTTTCCCTGCCAGCTCAGGATTCCAGCACCCTGTCTTGCTGAGCCAGACACTCCCGTCTGCTCCAACACAGACCCAGGGTCTGAATCACTTGTCCCAGAGCTGCAAGTTTACCCGAAAACAGCTCACAGAAGTGTGCTTGTCTTTAGCACTCAGATGCCCAACGGGGTCTAAACCCAAATAAATCCGTTTTACCCTGTATAAAGCTTATGCAGGGCAAACTCATAAATTGTTTGCCCTCTATAACACTGATAGAGAGATATGCACAGTTGTTTGCTCCCCCAGGTATTAATACATACTCTGAGTAAATTACTAAATAAAAAGTGATTTTATTAAATACAGAAAGTAGGATTTAAGTGGTTCCAAGTAGTAACAGACAGAACAAAGTAAGTCACCAAGCAAAATAAAATAAAATGCACAAATCTATGTCTAATCAAACTGAATACAGATAATCTCACCCTCAGAGATGCTTCAGTAAGTTTTTTCTCAGGCTGGACACCTTCCAGGCCTGGGCACAATTCTTTCCCCTGGTACAGCTCTTGTTCCAGCTTAGATGATAGCTAGGGGATTCTTCACGATGGCTCCTCTCCCCCTCTGTTCTCTTCCACCCCTCTATCTATCTTTTGCATAAGGCAGGAACCCTTTGTCCCTCTGGGTTTCCACCCCCCCCTCACTGGGGAAGCACCAGGTTAAAGATAGATTCCAGGTCAGGTGACATGATCACATGTCACTGCAAGACTTCATTGCCCACTTGCCAGCACACACATATACAGGAAGACTAACAGGTAAATACAGCTATCTGCAGACAATGGTCCTGGTTAATGGGAGTCATCAAGATTCCAAACCATCATTAATGGCCCACACTTTACATAATTACAATAGGCCCTCAGAGTCATGTTTTATATTTCTAGTTTTAGATACAAGAGTGGTACATTTCTACAAATAGGATGATAACACTCAGTAGATTATGAGCTTTGTAATGATACCTTACAAGAGACCTTTTGCACGAAGCATATCCCAGTTACATTATATTCACTTATTATCAAATCTTTATAAAACTATCCCAGTTACATTATATTCACTTATTATCATGTTTTTATAAAACCATATAGACTGCACAACGTCACACTAACCTCTAGTATTCTGGAGGCCAAGTGTGATAAATGAAGGGTGAGGGGAGGAGAGCTCCCTTTTATGAACACACAGCCAGCCAGTTAGCTGTAAAATCCCTCTTGGTAGCTGTTCTCTGCTTGCTTTTCCTGTAAAGGGTTAAAAAGTCCCCAGGTTAAAAAAAAAAAAAAGGAGTGGGCACCTGACCAAAAGAGCCAATGGGAAGGCTAGAACTTTTTAAAATTGGGAAAGAACTTTCCCTTTGTCTGTTGTTCTCTGGGCTGCAGGGATGGAGCAGCAATGCTATAAGCAGGAATGCTATGTAAGGTTTGAATCAGGTATGAAAAATTATCTTCTGTACCTAGGAGGAATTATTTGCATAGGGAATGTTTAGATAAATGCCATCAGGTTTATTTCTTTATTTTGGCTTGTGAATCTCCTCTCTGCTAACCCCAGATGCTTTTGTTTGGTTGTAACCTTTAAGCTGAACCCTGTTTTAGGTGCTTAATTTTTGGAATTGCTCTTAAAATCTAGCAAAAGCCTAAATTCCAGATGTATTTTCTTTCTTTTTGTTTTAAATAAAATTTTACTTTTTTTTTTTTAAGAACAGGATTTGGATTGTTGGGTCCTAAGAGATTTGTGCCTGTGCTGTTTGATTAGCTAGTGGCAAAAGCTAATTTCCTTTGTTTTCTTCACAGCTCTTCCTGGAGTGGGGGTGAAAGGGCTTGAGGGTACTCCACAGGGAGGAATTCCCAAGTGCTCCTTCCTGGGTCCAAGGGTTTTTTTTGTTTGTTTGTTTGTTTTTTGCATTTGGGTGGTGGCAGCATTTACCAAGCCAAGGTCAGAGAAAAGCTGTAACCTTGGGAGTTTAATACAAGCCTGGAGTGGCAAATATTAATTTTTAGAATCTTTGTGGGCCCCACTTCTGCATTCCAAGTGCAGAGTGGGAATTCAGCCTTGACACCAAGTCTACACAGGGTCTGAATGAGCTCTTCCCTGTTCCCTCTCCTATTGATGGGCTGGGGGGAAAGACTTCAGGAGCAGACCGTGTTCGCATAGGCATACCTACTCTGCCTACGTGCACACCATGATTGAGCTTCTTTGCCAAAATGATCAGTTATGGCTGGTTTGGGGTTACAAATCACTTTAGTACTCGAATACAGGTGTAATGAAATGTTGTTATCCCGATTGTATGGGTAAAGGACAGCAGAACTGTTCATAGCATGCCCTGACAAGGTTTCATTTAGGGTGACCCCCCTCACTCACTAAGCAGGGGTAGGGATGCTAAATCCCAGTGAAAGGGAAAGAGGGTGGGGACAGGTGGTTGTACCTGGTGGCATGGGTGTTGCTGAAGGAATCCTAGACATTAATTGAGTCTAATGAGCTCTGTGGTGAAAGTCAAATAAAGACTGGAGAGGTAATCCCAAAGCAAAGGGGAAATAAGGTGGGATAGTAAAATGGGGTGTAGATAGGTCCTGGAGAGAGGAATCTGGGAAAGAGAGAAGGTAGGGATTGACTCCCCCCCCCCCCCCCGGATAAATGTTGATAACTGTGAAGTAATGCACATTGAAAAACATAATCCCAACTATACAAAATGATGGAATCTAAATTAGCTCTTTTCCCTTGTGATGCCATATGATTGGAACATGACCATTTATATCATTAATATTGCAACAAATCTTGTACAAAGTATGTCATGTGTGGTATTAATGGAAAAGTTACAATCTATCAAATATCACTATCCTGTTTGTATGCACATATATCATTTTTGTATCTGAAGTTATGAATATTGACTATATACCTGTATTTCAAATGTGTTTGTTTCTGGGGTAACACCTACAAGGTAGTTTGCATCAAGTCTAGCCAGCACTAAGCTCTTGGAATTAGAAAAACCCTTTATTTGATTAAATTGTTTTTAAATAACCACTCATCATTAAGTCTAGTGTCTGGGTGATGAAACAAGGGCTGGGATACCTAAGGAGACTTCATTTCTGACTTCTTGTTAACCAGTGTTGTCAAGGCTGTATCCCCACTTTGAACTTTAGGGTACAAGTGTGGGGGCCTGCATGAGGACTTCTAAGCTTAACTACCAGCTTAGTTCTGGTCCGCTGCCACCATTCCCTTCCCTGAGAAGCTTTTAGAAACCTTTCACCAATTCCCTGGTGAATACAGATCCAAACTCCTTGGATCTTAAAACAAGGAGAAATTGACCCTTCCCCCCTCCTTCCTTTCACCAACTCCTGGTGAATACAGATCCAACCCCCCTTGGATCTTAAAACAAGGAGAAATCAATCAGGTTCTTAAAAAGAAGGCTTTTAATTAAAGAAAAAGGTAAAAATCTCTGTAAAATCAGTATGGAAAATAACTTTACAGGGTAATCAAACTTAAAGAGCTCAGAGGACCCCCCTCTGTCTTCGGTTCAAAGTACAGTAAACAAAGATAAACACTCTGGTAAAAGGTACATTTACAAGTTGAGAA